TCTAATATATCTTTGTTTATTTTGCGTAGAAACTTTTCTTCTAAACTGTTGCTTAAATTTTTAGAAAACACTGGTTGTTGTTGGCTATCGATCCGATTAAAGAAGTTGTGTACTTTCTGAATTCGGTAGACGGGGAATGGACTAACTATCCCGCTATGAAGGAAACTGTTGATCAGTAAGTGAGATCGTTCTAACTATTTGTGTATATTTATATATTTAATTATTTCTGTGAGATTGATCTAAATATATGTTTTTATTTTCTTAGATCAATACAAATATTTCGTAGTCAAAGGGACGCACAGGTACCCCGGAGTAAATCATCAAATATTACTTGGATCAAAGTGCAGGTACAAAATTAGTTGCTTATAATAATAGTTATGTTACTTGATAAAATTACACGACAACTATAAAATATATTTTGTTTTTCTATGCAGTGTCCGTTACAGAATAACGATGTAGATTGCGGATACTTTTGCTTGAGGTTTATGAAAGAAATCCTTCATAAAAATCAAGTAGAGATTCCAAGCACGGTATAGATTTATAACTTAGAATAATTTTGTATGATTTCTACATTTAATAACATCATGCATATACTGAAGTAATAATTTCTTATGTAGTACTTTGATGACCTCTATACTATGTCGTACACGAAAGTTCAAGTGGAAGAAGTCAAAGAGGAAATATGTCAATTTTATGTTGAAAACAGATTATTCTGACGGGTATGAATAAAATATTATTGTACGTGTTAGTTTGATTGTGTTGGAGCCTTTAATATTATTTGTTTAATTTACCGTGTTGTTCATATTCATATTTTGCAGGATGACGACCGTGTCGGTGGAGCATTATTTTCGATGTAATTATATATGATTTAGTTACATATGTATATATATATGGTTACAAATTAACACGATACTTTGTATGTGATTTAGTTATGGTTACAAATGTATATATGGTTACAAATTTAGTTATATATGATTTAGTTACATATATATAGATAAGGATTGAATATTATATGGTATACCGGTTTCTGTTAATATAATACCGATTTCTTAAAATATATGTATAGATAAGGATTGAATTACAGGTTAAATTATTGGACCAAAAAAAAAATTACAGGCCGCACAGGGAACCTCAAATTATAGGTTTCACTTTAAAAAATTTGTATGAGCTACGAAAGCGCTTTTGGCTAAAAAGCGCTTTCGTAGGCAGGATAAATAAAAAAAAAAATTAAATAGAAACCCCCTATCAAAGCGCTTTTTATGGAAAAAGCGCTGTGAAAGACCCCCCTATCAAAGCGCTTTTCCATAAAAAGCGCTGTAAAAGCCATGATAAATAAAAAAACAAAAATTAAATAGAACCCCTATCAAAGCGCTTTTTATGGAAAAAGCGCTGGGAAAGACCCCCCTATCAAAGCGCTTTTTCCATAAAAAGCGCTGTAAAAGGCCTGATAAATAAAAAAAAAAAAATTTAAATAGCACACCTATCAAAGCGCTTTTCAAAAAGCGCTGGGAAAGACCCCCCTATCAAAGCGCTTTTTAAGGAAAAAGCGCTGGGATAGGTCCACCTACGACAGCGCTTTTGGCCAGAAAAAAGCGCTTTCGTAGCCTACGGCAGCGCTGGCTACGGCAGCGCTTTTAAGCGCTTTTAAAGGGCAAAAAAAAGCGCTGTGAAAGCCCATTTTCGTAGTAGTGTTACTACGGAAAGCAAGAAATACGTAGTTAGTATAATAAAAAAACTTGCAACACAAATTGGTCAGTTAACCAAGAACTCAGACACTGCTGACAAAAATCTCGAGAAACATGTTTATCAAGTGGTCAAACACCTAGTTGATAAAAAAATAATGCAAACACTCAAACTAACTCAAATGAATACAAAAAAGTGAGTGAAAATGACAATGATGTGTGAGATATTGGATCAAACTCTATTGAATTGAAGGATAGCTTCTTGATTTCGACAGTTCACAAAGTTGTAGCATGCAGTCGAAGGTTGCTCACATGCTGATGTCGAAGTATTGTATGCTGTAGTCGAAGAAGGATCAAGCATGCAGTGGTCGAAGAATACTAGAATTGTTAGTATCAAATTGGGCATGTTTGTTATGTCCAATTGTTTAAGTTAGCTTGTACTCTAAGTTAGTTTGTAATCGGTATTTGTAAAAAAGCCCATTAATTTAGTATGTTAGTTTATTATAAATAGCATACTAGTATCTCATCATTGCATATTATAAATCTTAATTTAGGATGAGAGGGTTATTTGTGATTTTTGAGTACTTGTAATTTGATTTAAAGAGAAAGTAAAGAATATCACTTAATAATCAATTCCTTGTGTTCTTCTTGTTTTTTCATCTTTTCTATCCTTTTTATTTCTTCACTACGCCAAAAATGGTTTTAGGCAGCACACCATAGACATCACTTTTTTCTCAAAGCACTGCTATAAGTTAAAAAACAATAAATAAAACAATGAGAAAAAGTGTTGCTAAAAGCTGACTTTAGAAAGCGCTGCTAAAGGAAGCACCATAGATAGCACTTTTTTTCCAAAGCGCTGCTATAAATTAAAAAAAATAAAATAAAATAAAACACTGAGAAAAACCGCTGCTAAAGGCTGACTTTAGAAAGCGCTTCTGAGAAGCGCTGCTAAAGGAAGCACCAAAGACAACGCTTTTTCCCAAAGTGCTACTATAAGTTCAAAAAAAATTAAAACATTGAGAAAAAGCGCTGCTAAAGACTGACTTTAAAAAAGCGCTTCTGCAAAGCGCTGCTAAAGGCAAAACTTTACAAAGCGTTTCTGCAAAGCGCTGCTAAAAGCAAAACTTTACAAACCGCTTTTGGAAAGCGCTGCTTATGGATGTTATTTAGAATGCGCTTTAGGCTATTGATTAGAAAGAGCTTTCTACGAGAAAGCGCCGCTACAGGAAAAATAATTAAAATTTAAATTAAAAAATGTTATTTTAGTTTCTTTAGTAAAAAAATTAAACCAAAACGAAATAAAAAATTCCTATAAGCGTTCATCTCTTGTTCATCTCTCTCTCTTATCTCTTTCATTGAAACCCTCAAATCTTCACTCAACCGCTCATCTCTTTCATTGGTAATTTCTTCACCCATCATCACTCAGTTCTCCTCATCTTCACTCCTTCTTTTCACCCATCATCAATGTTTCCCTCTGAACTACCCTTCAAAAACCCACCTAACGGATCATCCACTCCAGTCCGTCGACACATACTCCTACCTCAACCATCTACTTGCGGGCCACTCCCCAACTGAACACCTTCACTCCCCTGAAGATTGTGATTTATTTGTGTTAAATTGTGTTAAAGCTTTGATGTCAATATTGTGTTGTGAAGCTATATGTTGAAATATTGATGTCACTGCCATTTCTATGCGTGTCAAAATTGAAAAAATGAATCATAGTTCATCTCTTTCAATTTTAGGGCGTCCACAATTCTCAACGACCCTTCGATATTCAGGTAACTTATTTTTCTTGATTCTATAACTTTCGTTTTCAATTTCGTTATCAATGTTGATGTAAATTTTGATGTTGATTCTATAAGTTAGTTATATTGAGAAGTTAGTAGTTATATAGTTAATTTGCTACTGCTGCATTAAGCCTCAAAATTCTGTTAGTACCTAGGTGTAAAAATATGTTAATGTTTGTTAGGCTAGAAATTAGGGTTAGAATGTTAGTAATTAGAAAAGTTAGTTATGAAATTGAGAATAGTTAGTTAATTTTCTGTTAGAGTTAATAGCTGGACTGCTGGTAGTTAAACTGGCTTTGGCAATAAGTTAAAAATTATGTTAATGTTAATTGTGTTAGAAGAGTTGTTAATGTAAGTGAAGAGTTAGAATTAGTTTTATTCAAAATTAAAGGTTAAGTGGAATTTATGTTATAGTTAGTTAATGAAGAGGAAAGTTAAAATAGTGATATAAGCCTGTTAAATGTAAATTTTTAAAAACCTGTTAGACGATGTTAGTAGTTTAGTTGTTAGAGCTGTTAGACTAACATTGCTAGCTTGGTTAATAAGGTTAGATGTTAGTATGTATGAAGCTTTTGAGCTATAGTGAAATGATGAATTATGTGGCTGTTTTGGATTAGATTTTTTTCATGTTTCTGTTGCCTTTTGATGATGATGGTCGAGTGTATGATTGATTTATGTTTGGTTTGAACTTGCCTTGGAACTGTCATGGAATGAGATTATATGATGATGATAATAAACTTTCAATAATTTTATGTGTGGTGAGGTATTGGTGTATGACATTTCAAATTGGTAGAATTTTTACTGAGCTGATAATTCATGTTCTGAGTCTACCCTGCTGATTTCATATTTATTTGAATACATTGTTGACATCGTTTGCTTTTAAATCAAGATAACTTATAGAAATTGCTTTGGACTGTATGTGTTTGCACCAATGCATGTGTACATGTTTTTGTTGAGATGGTGATGTATATTGGATTTGATTTAGCATGTGTTGGTGCATGTTGGTGAACTAATTAAAGACATTTATGACCTATAGGAGACCATGTGAATTTTGGTATGAATTGGTTTGCAAGCGTCCTTTTCATTGTATTGAACTATGTTGGAGTAGTGATTTGCAATAGTCTTTTGGCCTATGCATGACATGTAAACTTCTTCTTTTAATTTGGATTAACATGAGTTGCATCTTGAATGTTGTTTTGCTAGTCTGGTTTACGTGACAGTTGACTATTTTTTATGTATGTTAAAAGAGAAATAGAAGATAAACTTATATGTTTTGTTTAAAAAATAAGAATTTCTTGTGTTTGATATGTATTTATTATGGTTTATTGATTAAGATTACTTGATGTTCATCACCTTAAATGTGATATTTTGTTTGTCTTGTAGGTTTCTCCTCATAGAAAAGAAATACGAAATAGACCAAAAGTTTTGAAGCTTATTCATGTACTTATCTTGTGCATGTAAGTTTTAGCGTGTTTATATTAATACATAAATTATATGCTCTGTCATTCAATAAAATTGTTATATTGTGTTTATGTTATTTATTTTGTGTTTATTCATTCAATGCTACTTGAATTTTATATTGTGTTTATATTTTTTTATTACAGTTCAAATGGCTAGTAACGAGGAAAAATTACATCATGCTTCTAATAATTATAGAAATGAATTAGTTCATGATGTGGAGAATGATATTAGACGAGGAATAACTATTATGAAGTATAAAGGTTTCAAATTTGACATACATTGGAATGAAGACAAACAACTAATTGAGCCTAATGGTTCAATGTTGACAAGTTAAATTGGTTCCCTTGTGAGGAGAGAAGTTCCAATCATTTGTGGTGATTGGAGAAATCGAGAGTTGAAATCTGCTAAAGAAAAAATATGGAGTGATATACAAGTACCATATGTGATGTCATTTGTTTTTGTTGACTATTATGTCTTTAAATTACTAACGCACTTTATGTATGTTTTTTTGTAGAGGTCATTTAACATTGATGTTGATCGAAAAACATATTTTCTTCAATTGGCCGGAAAAAGGCTCAGAGGGTTTCGATCTTTTTTAACAAACAAGTTTCTTAGGGATGTTGATAACAATTTTATCGATGCATAACTTCCAAAAATGTATGCAGGCTTGATTTCACCTGAAGAATGGGAAACCTTTAAAGACAAACGAAGAACCTCATATTTTCAGAATGTGAGTGTTGTAAATCACCAACGAGCATCAAGTCCCTTGTATCCATACAAAAAAGGGAGTATGGGATATGCACGCTTACAACAAAGAATGGTAAGTATATATAAATGTTATGATATACCTGTTCATCATGTGTTACAATTGATCTTATTATTTCTCTTAATGTGTAGTTAGAAGAGGAGAAAAGTCAAGAAATATCTCTTGCGAAACATGTTTTATGGAAGGATGCTCGTGTGAGTAAGGATGGAGTTGTTAAGGAAGATGCTCAACAAATTTATGAGCAATGTGTAAGTATATCAGTATTCCTTTAATTAAATCAAAAGTTTATTAACATAAAGAATTTATGAGTTTTAATCACCACTAATTTATTTTGATATGCATATCAATTTTAGGAGAATCTATCTCATTCTTTAACTCGAGATGAAGACCGTGATTGCAGGAGCATACTTAGTCGAGTATTAAATATTCTTGAGTATGTCGGTCCTGTAAGGGGTAAGGGATTTGGGGTGACTCAAACATCTTTGGATAACCATCAAAAGAGCAAAGTTCATAGCAATAAAGAAGTGATGGAAGAGTTAGAAAAATTAAAAGGTAAAGTTCGTGAGTTGGAAATGGGTAAAGTAAGACATCAGTCAGAAAGACAAGGTTTAGGGTTCAAAGATACTAGTGACAAATATAGTATCAATTGTAATTTCCAACAGAAAATTATCGAGGTAATATATATTATTACAAATTAGAACAACTTTTTTAATTGACATATATACACATTAACAATTTCATAATTTTTATTAGTTTAGGGCATTTCACCTTGTCAGCTCTATTAATCGTCACCGGCTTATCGCATGGTTGGCAAAGGAAAAGTGCATAACATCACTCCCTGCTGAATTTGTGAAAGTATCAATTGATATTGCTTTAGAGAGGGATACGTTACCTTTACATGACGATATTTCAGATGCAACATTGGTGGGAGAGGCAATAACATCGTATGTTACATGATCGTCAAACCTCATTTGCATAAATGATAAGGTATGTTGAAAACCATTATGAACCTTTGAGTATTCAAATTTTTTAAAAATATTTTACGTGCATTTTTTTAATGGTAATGCTAGACTCTTACAAAATTCAAATCAAAAGATAAGGGGATTACGCGATAAACCGAGTCAGTTGCATAAAAAAAAGAGGTACATTAATATATATATATATATATATATATATATATATATATATATATATATATATATATATATATATATATATATATATATATATATATATAGACAATGTTAATTCATGATCTTATACTTCACCTAACTTATATGCATCTGATCTTTAGATTCATACTAAAGAGATGCAACAAGTCAGTAATAGTAAGAAGCCTGGAATTAGCAACATGTCCATACAAAAAAAAGGATGTTGCAAAGACCGCGGCTAAAAAAAGTGTACTTCTCAGTATAGGTCGTGCCTTCAGACATTAATAGGAATATCAGATTTGGCTGACGGAGGTACTCGTAATATACCTATGGAGGAAGGTATTTTTGGTTTTTCCTATTACGAAACAATTAGGAAAGAGGATATAGATTAAGTTTTTGGACATTCGTAATTAGGCCTCGGTGTTATTGATACATACATCAGGTATACTCCGATCAACTTTATTTAATTAATTGGAAAATTTATTTACTCATTTCAATGAATAGTCTTAATGTTAATGATGTTTTTATTTAAGATTCATGTATGGCAACTTGATGCGCCCGCATCAATTGGAACAAAAATTTCATTTCTTATCTCCCAACAATATCAACTCATGATTAATCGATCAAAGACCAGATGAAGTCAAAGAGTACTTTGTCCATGCATTTATGGTCAACAAAGATACATAAAAGTTGTTTTTTTACCATTTAATACTGGTAACGGGTTAGTTTATATTGTAACTTCATATATTATAATGTTTCGTGTTTTGACGTTGTGTAGAAAGTTTCCATATAATCTTTGTTAATCTTACATTGGACACTGATTGTTGGTTGCGCTTAATCCTAAAAGAGAAATAGTATATTATCTGAACTTGTTAGTAGGTGATTGGACAAAATACACAAATATGAAGAAGATGGTTGATACGTAAGTTAGATTGTTCTAAATATTCATTTGTATATTTGAAATAACCGGTGAACAATCAACTGATAATGAAATTAATGAAGTTGCATTGAACGTTTTTATCCCACATGAAAGGAAAGGTAAACATCGAGTAAACCTGAGAAAGGTGAAATCAAGGTCGAACGACCAAGAGATCGGTAAAGGAGTCTGTTACACGAGGGGAAGGTATTAACACCTCACATGTCAGAAGTACTCTATGGTATCCACTCTTGTAGTTCTAATCAAGGTGTGTGTAAGAATCTATATCTAAGCTGTACAGGGAATACAAGCAAAAGAAAGGAGAAAATAATATAGGGAAAATAAAGTTGTGCTTATTCAGGCCCTACCCCAATGCCTACGTATCCTTTTAAAGGAATCAGAGCAGTCGTAGTTCGGCTCACAAGTTTCTGTTGGTTTGTATTATTTAATGAACAAATATTAATTTCGCCTTCTGCCGCAGCTCGACCTTTGGAGACTTACGCGTTAGCACAGAAGTGAATCAACATGTTCTTTTGAAAAAGTTTGAAAGGAAAGCCTGAAGGTGAAAAAGAGTTTGCATTGGTTGATATGTTTTACCTTGAAGAAGGATTTGAAAATTGTTAGATGTCTTGTGCATTTTTCTAAGAAAAAAGTTATTGTCTTAATGCAAGGATGCGAAAGAAAGAAAAGCACCTAAGGGAGACTAACCTAAATTTATCCCTAATGTTATCATAAAATAATTTATACTAAGGTTGAGGATGAAAGGGAAATCTCTTACCTATGTTAGCATGCATGGATACCTATCCTAATGTCTAGCTCGAAAGCTACTTTAATCGAGCGATCCTAAGGGAAGCAAGGTGTAGCAAACAAATAAGAAAACCAGTGCTTTGGAAAAAGCACACAAACATAAAAATCACATACTGACTCAAAGGGGTGGGGGAAGCAAGAGAAATACTTTAGCTAAGGGGAGCGTATCACCCGAAGAAAACAAGCGGGAGACAGATGTAAAACAAAAAATATGATGTCCAAAGCGACTGAACACCTAACCAAGATATAGAAGATCGAGGTAAGCGAAAAAAGACAATATGAACGATCACAAAGTGTCAACATCGGCCAATGCGAACTCGTGACAAAGCGTGGGGATTGATTGTAAAACCCTTCCCCATTTAACGAACTCGATACACAAGATCTGAACAACTCCGAAGCATCGATGTACAACGTGAGCTAAGGATGACACGAACTAGAATGTGCGGGGATCGGTTATGGACCCTCTCCGCTTGCCTCCTTTTGAGGACTTGTCATCTGTAATATAATACAGGCAAAAATGTAAACACGCGTGCAGAATACCTACTTCAAAGGTAGGATTTTAAACAAACATAAATAAAATACAAAAAACAGTGCCTACTACAGGACTTTAAACTGCGAATTCAAGCGCACGCTCTTTATTTCCTACTTCTCATGATATCTAGAAGTCAGTAAAATTCCTACTACTCATTATATATAGAAAGCAGTAAAATTCCTACTTCTCATGATATCTAGAAAGCAGTAAAGCGCAGAATTAGTAAAAAGAGAAGTAGTGTAATACCACACAAACAAATGTTCGTAACACCGCAAGAAAAAATATAAAAAACCCAAAGAACTTAGAGTAAGCTAGCATCCACAACAAGAGACTGATCATAAATTAGCAACGTGAAAATAAATCACATGTGCAATGCATGCATCAAAAGCATATGTATCGCAAACAGTACACCTGCACGAGAATTCAGAATACATACAAAAACACAAGCAATGTATATTTCTCATGTAATGAGAATCAACATAAATCGCATTGGGAGCGAATCTCAAATCCGCAAATAAAGTGGAATGCAAATGCTTTTCAATTGAAATAAACGATCGAAAGTTATTCTTGAAATGCCTTGCACATGTCCACAAATGAGTTAGAAATAACAAGGAAATGATCGTCGAAATTAAGAATCTATATTACAAATTAATTTCTAAAATCAATTAAAAATCCAACAAGCTTTTATTGATCTCGTAAATTTTTATCATAAAAAAGATCAGCAAAGGAAAAATCCTAACTCTAACATTTTCTATTGTTTTGATTACAACAATAATTCCTTATTAACAAAAATTATGAAAAAAAGAAATTGACTAAAACCTAATAATAATAAAAAAGTCAGGGGTGTAACTGTAGGATCAAGTGCTCACCATTGCGCTAAAAGTAATTGCTTGTAGCCAAGGTGCAACTTTATTTCCATATAGTATGAGCATTTTCAGGGGCTGCATCTAGTTTAATAAGCGCCCATGGGTGGGATGTTAAGCCCTTCGAATCCCTAAGGTTGACGCTGGATATTTTAATCCAATAATCTCCCCCCCCCCCAGTGTCAGCTTGGGGAATTCAAACCCATGACCATGATCTGGTACCACTTGTAGGATCAAGCGCTTACCACTGCGCTAAAATCAATTGCTTATAGCCAAGGTGCAACTTTATTTCCATATAGTACGAGCATTTTCAGGGGCTGCACCTAGTTTAATAAGCGCTCATGGGTGGGATGTTAAACCCTTCGAATCCCTAAGATTGACGCTGGATATTTTAATCTAACAGTAACTGGATTCAGGGATGTTTGGATCAGAAATCTAGTGCCTGGCCCAGGAAGAAAGGTCCAAGAAGCAATTTTTGTGACATTGTTTCGGGGTTCCAAAAGATGGCAATGGGCTTAGAGAAAAAAAGTCTTGTCCTAGGGAAGACTCATTCAAAGTCAACAACTCATCTCCATTCAACATTAATTGTGACCGTTCATTTCTCTATGAGACGAGCCACCCCTTCTCTACACTCATAGATCTTCTCCGCGTTTATCGCTGTCGTATAACCACCATCGAACAACGATCAACCCTCCATAAGATTTTTCTTTCAATTTCACCGGTATCAACCTAAACCTACGAGTAACTTCGAAAATCCTAGATTTCATAACATCCAAATTGAAATGCTAACAATGATTAATTCGGCTACGAGACCTTGGGAGAAACGCTCGCAGAAGTCCGTTCAAAATCCTACCATTAAAAGGAATCGAGCACAACAATGGAAATAATGGAAGATCTGAAGCTTACCGATCTAAGACACTCCGATGGTGTTTCGTAGTTCCTGATAACGAGACATAATTCTAAAGACTCTTCTGAAAATAATTCAGTTACGTCATTTAACACTTCCAAGATCGCTTCTTCCTCGATTTTCTTCTTCTCTATGTTTCTATCCCTGAGTGTCATGAATCGTTATTGTTTGCGTCACAATAAGATGATGATGATGATGAATAATGTGATGCAGATCGAAATTGCCGAAACAATGAAGTTGTTATTGTGTGGAGATGATGAAGGTGCGCTGAAGATGTTTAGGATTTTAATTGAAGAAGTAGGAGTTACGGATTATAATTGAAGGTGATGGTGAAACTCAGTTGCAGAGGGAGAAAGGGCTTGAGTTTTTTCTGGTATTTTAGTGATGGAGAAAGAAGATAAAGAGAGGAATAAGAGAGGATTTTTGTGATTCTTCTCTGAATTATGAAGAATGATAGTGAAGATGAAGAAGTATATGTGGGAGAAGAAACAAGAGGTTTATGGAATTTTCTTGGTTTGAAGAATGAAGATGAGAGAAGCATAGAAAATTTTTGGAGCGTGATCTTTTTCATTGGTTGTAGAATCCCCCCTCTGAATTAGTGAATTTTTATTTTGTTTTTATTCTATTCTGCTGATAGTTAGAGCCCCCCGAGTCTGTTAGTTGTCAGTTCTATTTTGATTCAGTTTTGAGGCTATCATTGGATTTTGTTTTGATTTCTGTTAGTCTTTGTTGTACCCCAAAATTTTCCCTCTCATTTATCAAGATTTTCCTCACAAGACTTCTTGGACTCAAGACAAGATCAGGGTTTGGTCAGCTCAAAATACCTCACCTTGCACTGATAGCCTGAAATTAGGTTTGAGTTTGCACAAATATTTTTGGACCACCAATACTTCATGTGACTTTCATACACCATCTTGGACTCCTAAGATTGCTCATACCAACTTTCAAGTCTTGAATCACATTTTTGCCCAGTCAATTGGACAATTGACCTAAAAATCATCTGTATTGGGGAAAAAGTCAACCATGGCCAATTTACAGTCAAACTTCATAATTTTTTATCCACAATCACATTTTAGACTCATATGTACCATTTGATCAAGTTTGGATCACAACTCCTCAAGAAATTTGATCAAATCATCAAAAGGGCAAAATGGTCAAAATTAGGGTTTTGACTGAGAAAGGGAAATTTCTGATTTTTAACCTAACCAATGGCCAATTGGGTTCAAGCATGATTTCAAGGACTCAATGGCATCATCTTTA